CCCCACCACCACCACCCTCATGGTGATGGTAAATCTTGCCTGCTCTTTATGTATAACATTTTTGGCTGTGGCCCCATTGGAGAGATTTTACCCTCCTGTCCCTGTGACTCCCATACATTACATGAAGAGAGTCACCTGTACAGGAAGGCATGGACGATGAGCCCCATGGGGAAGATGTTCTCAATTCCTGTCCCTGCGACTCCCATACATGACATGAACAGACTGGTTGGTTGTCAACGGCGCAGGAAAGCATGGACAGTGGGCCCCATGGGGGAGATGTTCTCACTTCCAGTCCTTATGACTCCTGTACATTACAGGAAGAGAGTGATTGCCATCTGTACAGGAGAGCATGTACAGTGGGGCCCCATGGAGGAGATCTTCTCACTTCCTGTTCCTGTCAGTATGACTCCTGTACATTACATAAGGGGAGTGGTTGTCACCGATACAGAAAGGCATGGACAGTAACGCAAACATCTGATGGTCTAATCCTTCCCAGCCCTGCTAAAAATGCCCTCAGTGTGGACCAGCCTTTCTAAAGGGGGGTTCTGATGTGAAGAGGGGGGTTCTGATGTAAAGAGGGGGGTTCTGATGTAAAGAGGGGGGTTCCGATGTAAAGAGGTGGACTCCATTTCAGAACGGTGCCGTGACTAAAACTATTAGGAAATCTCTACGTCAGCATTTCTCATCACTTCCTGTCCTGAAGGGAGAGATGAGATCAGATGTCACCAGCACACTGAGGATCCTTTTTAAAGTGATCCCATCACACACAATCAGTGCAGGGCAGCGAGTGACTCCAGGGCACGCTGGACCTCTTCATCAGCTATGTTATCACAGATGTGTGCGGCCTGGAAATGTTTCACTTGCTGAGCATTCATGCCCTGTGCTCCTCAGCATCATCTAGTGGCCATATTGTGGTATGACATCACAGTACATTCGACCTGAATAGAAACTATATTAAGAAAGTTTATTTCTGCCATAGTTCACACAGAACAAAGATTCAGATATTTAAGAATAACCCCCCCTAGGATTTTACCCAATCGCTTTTCTTCTCCACATAAGTGAAGTCACACATTAAATAAAGCTGCTGTTTATGTGCAGACAGTCTGGAGTGTTGTGGACTCATCCACGTGTCTCCTTTCTAGGTGTGCAGGATCGTTTGGATCCAGAGAAATGCCATGCAGCCATTGCTGGAGTGTCTATAGACAGGAAGTGGCTGCAGAAGATCAGTAGTACTGGAAAAAGGCTCAGGTCACAAAGCTCTAATACAAGGCTCAGGTCACAAACCTCTAATACAAGGCTCGGGTCACAAAGCTCTAATACAAGGCTCGGGGTCACAAAGCTCTAATACAAGGCTCGGGGTCACAAAGCTCTAATACAAGGCTTGGGGTCACAAAGCTCTAATACAAGGCTCGGGGTCACAAAGCTCTAATACAAGGCTCAGGCTCCCTAATTTAGTCATGTGACTAATTCTCAAATCTCATTGGGCTCTCAGCAGCCAATTGAAGCCTCTCCACAGACCACTGCCATTCTCCACTCCGGCCTGTGCGTACGCTCCACTCCCCAGGGTCTGTTCCCGTCCTTTGTGATGAAGCCACTTACCCCTGGAAGCTGACTTAATTCTCCAATAGCAGACCCTTCACCCAGCAGCCTGCCTCTAACATGTTTCACCCCCTATTGGAGCTTCATCATAGAGCTTATGGCTTTGTGATGGGATATGATTAAGCTCTGGCTTTGTGAATCGACTCTACAAAGCATGATGTCATTCAGTCAGGGCAGGGGTATCCAAACTTTCGCCAGCTGTGATGGAACTACAAGTCCCATGACATAAGGCTCTGACAGCCACAGGAATGACTCCCAGAGCCAGATGCATGCTGGGATTTGTAACGTCACCACATCTGGAGGGCTAAAGTTAGGCTACCCTGACATATAGGGTGTCCACCCGCTATAAAGGATGCAAGGGGCAAATTGTAGAGAGACCAATCAGAATTCACTTTCCTGACGCCACAGTGGGTACCGGCTGGATTCTGATTGGAGCAAAGTTTGACACATATGATGCACAGCCACCAAGCAAGCCAGTGATCTGGTACAAATAACGGGGGGAGGGGGGGCTGCCATCTTCTATTTCTCCTATGTTCCCCCCCCTTTCTGTGTCATGCCCCCCTGACCTTATTTCATCTCCTCCTCCCTTATCACCTGTCCAGGCATCGCCTCCCTCTGTCACCATGGTAACTGGTCTTGGAGAATGGGAGCATCCTCACAATCGTCATGGAAACCGATCCATTCTGTCTGGCCGTTGTGTGCATGAAGCGAGCAAGCGAGACCAAATCCTTCGAGTTCAGCCATCTAGAATCATTGTTCTATAGCGGTACATCTCCGTGTCACCGCGGACGGCGGAGAGTTAAACCGCCATGGCGCAAAAAGGAAACCGGAACTGGTCATCTCTGTAATGTTTTACGGCTCACATATTAACATAGTCTGAAAAATCCAGTGTTAAAAAAAACCTGCGACATGCCCTTAGTGACCCTGTCATAGGAAATGAACGCGGTGACGGTATAAGACACCGGCCCCCAAATCACTACAGGGCGCGACGTCCTAGGAATTCGGTTTTATTGGTTTAATTAGGATTTGTGATGAGCAGATGGACTGAGTGCGGGACAAGTTTTATATTCAGTCCCAGAATCCACTGCAGACAGTCACAGTTCCCCATCACGTCATTGGAATTACGGATCAACTGAGCCTTTGTATAGAGTCCTTTTACAACTGAAAGAGATGACAGAGGGATATAGGAAGGGAGGGAGAGATGGATGGATGGCAGTGAAGGAGGGAGGGAGGGATGGAAGTAGAGAAGGGGGAGAAAGAAATAGAGGGGCTTGATCTGGAAGAGAGGGAGGGATGGAGAGATGGAGGGAGGGAGGCAGAGATGGATGGAAGGAGGATAAGGAATAGAGGGGCTTGATCTGGAAGGGAGAGATGGAGGGAGGCAGAGATGGATGGACAGAGGGGGGTAGAAAGGAATAGAGGGGCTTGATCTGGAAGGGAGAGATGGAGGGAGGCAGAGATGGATGGACAGAGGGGGGTAGAAAGGAATAGAGGGGCTTGATCTGGAAGAGATGGAGGGAGGCAGAGATGGATGGAGGGAGGGGGGTATAAAGGAATAGAGGGGCTTGATCTGGAAGAGAGGGAGGAAGGGAGAGATGGATGGACAGAGGGGGTAGAAAGGAATAGAGGGGCTTGATCTGGAAGGGAGAGATGGAGGGAGGGGGGTAGAAAGGAATAGAGAGGCTTGATCTGGAAGGGAGAGATGGAGGGAGGGGGGTAGAAAGGAATAGAGGGGCTTGATCTGGAAGAGAGGGAGGGATGGATGGAGAAAGCACAGGGAGGGGAGAAGGATATATACATTGGAATCCATTGGTGGAGATGTATTGAGCAAAAGTGACACAGGAAGTCCCCATTCACAATTGTGATGACATTGGGTGTCACGTATATGTGCACTTTTTATGTATTGATCATCCTGTTCATATCATTGGTCTGCCCAACGTACAACAAACGCATGAAGAAGCCCGCGGACCTTCCTGAGCTTCAAGCTTTGTGTGATTTTCTGCATGTGTTGTGTGTCTGCGTCTTGCTTGCCATGTTTGGGGGTGCCATAGACAGTGACTGGCACCACAGACACAACACGCCTTCATCACACAGCTCATGCTGCACCATTGTGAATGTGGCTTAGACACAAATCAGTCTCTGCGTCAGGTCTGCCGTCAGCGCGTCGTCCTAAAATGTAACGCAACGCAAGACGTAATGTGCTGCATTTTTGCATTTTCATTCTTAGTATTTCCTGTTTCCATTTTGTGGGGTGGCGTCCGTCTGTTGGAAATATGGACTTGACATGTGACTTGAAAAACCGCACTCATTAAAACGCATTTTCAGCACATTCTCTGTGTTTTACCTTTTGACTATAATCCAAAGCGTTTTTTACGAAAACGCACAAAAGATGCAGCGGGCAGGATTTTTCAAAAACGCAACGCACTGCCGTCTTATGCAGCGCACTGTCGTGAAGTTCTTAAGGATAATCAATAATTGACAATAATAATCGATAATATTGATTAATATTATTTTGGATTATTAGTATTATTATAATTGATTATATATCGATTTTTATTATCTAATGATTATTAGTATTATGAATAATATAATGGTAACTCTTTTTGTTGCCCGGTTATCGCTCTGCGATCCCGCGCTGTAGCGCACAGACAACGCGATGGTGTAAACGGACGCGTATACCGGCCGAGGGCGGAATGGATGACTCAAGCTATAACCTTGCAGTAAATCTGTTGCGCGGTCCGTCTCGCCGCTCCTGTTTAGCGTTGCCTCCTCGCAGAATCGATAAGCGCCCCTCCTCCAATATCATCAGATTATTTATGGCGATATTGATCCGGGGTCGTCGCCTTTTATTGATCCGGGGCCGTCGGCTTTTATTTGCACAAATGATGAAAAATCAGGGAATGGATTCCTGCAAATTAAGGACGGCTGGCTGGTTGTCCCCAACCAATGGGCGATCGGCGCGTGTTGGCGGCTCAGCTTGATGAAAGCTGCCCTGTGATTGGTTGCTGGGAGTTTGGGGGCACTTTTTTCAGCAGGCTCTGTTTAGGTGAGGAGACATCTGGGACAGAAGATAGGAGGAGGGGGAGGAGAGACTCCAATTGGAGTAGATGGGGGAGGGGAGGGTGGTTGGGTTATGGAGGGAGATAGATAACAAGGGAGGAGAGGAAGAGGGGGAGGGGGAGGCTGTTGCATGAAGCAGCCACACAAAGGACCTTGCTTGTGAGGGAGGAAGAGGCATCTCAGACAGAGCGGTGACCAGGAATGAGGTGAGTGCTCGGCCGCCAGCTCAGCATTGCATGTCCGGCTATGTGCCCCAACCCTGTGCCATGCATCCAGCCGGATCCATAGCTTTGCACAATGACAGCCAGTAGAGCCAGCGTGCACTGAACAATGGCATACAGGCTCATCCAGTGTGCAAAGTGCAATAACCCATAGCAACCAATGAGAATGTGTCTTTTAGAGGGCGAGCTGCCATCCCATTGGTGGCCCCGGGTTGGCAGCTGTTTGCATGTTGCCGTTGTCGCTCTTTGTGCTGCTGCTCAGTCAGATCAGCGACATGCAAATCATCCCCATTGAGCAGCCAGCACATGCAAATCCCAGCGAGCGGCAGGCAAAGCAGTGACACATCACCCTGATCAGTCATTGTTATAAGGGCCACCATTCCCCAACATGGGGCCCCCCCGAGAACTTTTCTCCCACCGACAAAGCGCCCCGGGGTGTTATTATTGGTATATGGACGTTGTACAGTAAATATTTACAGACGAGAAGCATTTCATTATGTAAAGTGGATGGAAACCATAACCGGGTGACCATTTAGTTGGTTGTGGTATCTTTAATTGCTGATCTACTGCGGCCTCCTTGCAGCCACTTCCTGTATATACGCATGCCAGTGATGGCTGCATGGCATTGCTCAGGGCTGACTTCCTGAGGGTGACAACAGGTCTGCAGTGGCACAATCCCCGTAGACCTTGTACGGCGTCTTGGGATCCATTATCTAGAGTGGCACCCCAACATACAAGTACAGTAGGTGCCAATGGACCCACAAACAGGCCGCGCGCTGCATTAAAAACATGTCAGTTGTGGTTTTTGGACCTTGGTGCCCATCTAACATGAAGGTCTTTCTGCAATGTATGTGGGGTAACATGGTATCAAGACCGGCAGCCAATAGGATGAGTCTGTAAACTTTTCTGGCATGGAGGACTTTCTGCTTATTCAGTTTTAAAGTGATAGCAGTGGAGTGCGGCAATGCTGAGCGGCCAATCAGAAATGCCCTTTCATCTGAAAGTCTAGAAAGCTGATTTCTGGTTGGTCGGCATGGGTTGGTGCATAGCATTGCTTCGCCAAGGCACCTCTTATAGTGCGGTCCTAACTCTAAACTATGCAGTGCGGCTTACACATCCTTTGCAGAAGACGTGTATCCAAACCTCTGTCATTGTCCTTAGTGGTGAGACATGTTGTTTTACATGCTGGTTTGTGAGTGTGCCATGATGCCTTTCTACTGTTCCACAGGGACACAAGAACACTATAATAGATCATAGCAGGTCGGCTGGGAGAAAGCAAAGGATTTTCAACAGCAGCCATTCAAATGTTACCTTGCTGACGTAAGACCAAGGTAACAAGGTCAATTCTGATTGGCCGACGTGGGTGCATAAGGCTCCGATCCGTTTTTGAAAAAGACCTGAAAGCGTATGTCTAGGCACACATTTGTAGTTTTGGATGGAGTAGAGAAGGGTGGTCTAGTTTCTATTGTTGTCTGTGTCTCCAATGGGGAGATTCACCTCTCTGTCTGCGTCTCCAATGGGGAGATTCACCTCTCTGTCTGTCTGTACTGATGACCATTGTCACCAAAAGAAAACAAAAGTTAGGGGAAATCCGACATTTTTATAGCTGTCTGGAGAACAAGAAGTGAGAAAGCATTTTAGTTGCAGGAAGTATGGAAGCTTGGATAGGCCAAAAAGAGGGAGGACATGCAGGCCAAAACATGAAGAGGAGAGGGGGCAGACAGTCCACCATCATCACTTGTTTGCATCATGAAGGGGATCCTGTGAAACCCCGAAACATTGAATAGGCAACAAGTATGTGAATAAATAGATGGCCACTGCCACTCCAAAGCAAATCCAGTACATCCTTTCAGTTCAAATGCTCTGGGTCCGGTGGTCTCAGTCATTTTCCATGCATGCTCTGGGTCTGGTGGTCTCAGTCATTTTCCATGCATGCTCTAGGTCTGGTGGACTCAGTCATTTTCCATGCATGCTCTGGGTCTGGTGGACTCAGTCATTTTCCATGCATGCTCTGGGTCTGGTGGACTCAGTCATTTTCCATGCATGCTCTGGGTCTGGTGGTCTCAGTCATTTTCCATGCATGCTCTGGGTCTGGTGGACTCAGTCATTTTCCATGCATGCTCTGGGTCTGGTGGTCTCAGTCATTTTCCATGCATGCTCTGGGTCTGGTGGACTCAGTCATTTTCCATGCATGTTCTGGGTCTGGTGGTCTCAGTCATTTTCCATGCATGCTCTAGGTCTGGTGGTCTGTCATTTTCCATGCATGCTCTGGGTCTGGTGGACTCAGTCTGTGAGGTGACAGGAAGTATGGAAGCTTGGACATGCAGGCCAAAACTCCAAGGCTCTTTTCACACCTATGAGCACATGAACACTTCACTTTTAATGGGTCCTTCATGAGCCTCAGTGCATGAAAAAACTCACATGCACTTTTTTTGAGCAATCTGCAAGTGCATTTGTTTATACCGTACATGTGCTTTGTAGTGCGTTGACGGGCAGTGTAGTGCGTTGATGGGCAGTTGTCTATAACTTAGATGTGTGTTGTGTTGCCGTATACTGCAGGTGTATTTGTTTGTTCTGTATATTGTGTGTTGGGCGCCATTCATAATAAAAGTGATCTAATGTGCTCCATGGCGGGTGCACAGAATAACGCATGTTGCATGCAGAGGTGTGAATACAGCCTAAAAGAAGACAAGGGCAGAGTGCCCATATATATAAAGGGTATTAGTCCACCACAAGCACTGTACAAATATGAATTCTGATTGGTCACTGTAGGTGACATTATGGCACAGCCATTACACATCTGATTGAATAGTTTACCCCTCGTATGGCTGTAAATTCATGGATATGATTGGTCGTCTTTGGTGATGGACGTAGGCGGGTATGAGGCGGACGTAGGCGGGTATGAGGCGGACGTATGAGGCGGACGTAGACAGGTAACCTTATGGTTGACTTTCATTGTGTGCCTATGATGATCTATTCCCTGGAAGTGACAGTACCTGTTGTTATGTAACAATGCAGCTGTGGCCCCTCCATCGTCTCCTGGGGATGATGTACTATTTACAAATGACCCAGTGAAAGGTGTTCACTCTGTAAATGTTCATCATCTCATTCTGCAGATGGTAAACCCAACAACAACAACGTCATATATTTCAGCCTCCGTGTTCTTAGTGTGGTGATAGTTTCACCTGGTGATCCTGCCAGTAACACACTTCCGGTCCTACAAGTGGCTACACTTATTACTCAACTACGGAGGAAGTCCATGTTGTCTTCCTTCCTTCCTTCATCTCCATCACATGAGGAGCTCGCTGATGATGGCTTAGAAGGAAGATTGCATTGTTTGAGACTACGGTTTAGTTCACAGGAAGTGACATGGACCCGACATTCCTGGTGAGATTGACAGGTATTGTCCTGAAAATGTTCTGAGTCTGGAAAAAAGAAAATGAATGCAGCCGCCAGATCTAGAGACTGCAATATATGACACTGTTGTTCTTGGGTGTAGAGATTCTTTGTGTGATTTAGACTGTCCTGAGACCAGCAGTATTTCTGCAAGATGCGTGATGTGCTTTGGGGACTCCTTGACTTGGGTATCGTCCATGGGGCTCTGTGACTGAGGTATCGTCCATGGGGCTCTGTGACTGAGGTATCGTCCATGGGGCTCTGTGACTGAGGTATCGTCCATGGGGCTCTGTGACTTTGACTTTAGACTGTCCTGAGACCAGCAATATTTCTGCAAGCTGGGTGATGTGCTTTACTAAAGTCAATGTAAACCCGCGGACACATTCGGATAGTCTTAGGATAAACCGTGAACATCTTCAGACGCTTACATGTGAGATTTAAACTGTTTTGAAGCATTGTATAGAATGGTATTTCTTAGAACCCCTGGCAGGTTTTATTTTGTGCTGCTGTTGTCCTGTTTGTAGAGATTTCCTCTCACTTCCTGGTGTGTCTCCAGGACAGAAAGTGAAGGTAATTTCATCAAAGTATCAAAGTGAGGGGATTCCTTTCATAGACAGTTGCCACCCAAACAGGTGTCCCCATTGAAAGGGTTCTCCTCATCCCGTGTTCTGGTGACAAATGTTGGACTTCCCATCGCTTTCTCTTCCCGGTGACAGTGGTAACCAGGAGGATTAAAATCCTTGCTGGGCAGGCTTCCCCTCTTTATTATTGGCTGACTGTTCAGACTCTTCGACTGGGGGCTTGTCCATAGGGACTCCTTGGCTTTGGATTCTTTGACTGGGGTGTCGTCCACGGGGACTCTGTGACTTGGCACTCTGTGACTGAGGTGTCGTCCACGGGAACTATGTGACTTGGCACTCTGTGACTGAGGTGTCGTCCACGGGGGCTCTGTGACTTGGCACTCTGTGATTGGGGTGTCGTCCACGGGGGCTCAGTGACTTGGCACTGTGTGATTGGGGTGTCGTCCACGGGGACTATGTGACTTGGCACTCTGTGATTGGGGTGTCGTCCACGGGGGCTATGTGACTTGGCACTCTGTGACTGGGGTGTCGTCCACGGGGGCTCTGTGACTTGGCACTCTGTGATTGGGGTGTCGTCCACGGGGGCTCTGTGACTTGGCACTCTGTGATTGGGGTGTCGTCCACGGGGGCTCTGTGACTTGGCACTCTGTGATTGGGGTGTCGTCCACGGGGGCTCTGTGACTTGGCACTCTGTGATTGGGGTGTCGTCCATGGGGGCTCTTTGGCTGTAGGCTCTTCCATGGGGACTCCTATAAATCGGCTGTTTGCTGAGTGAGACATTGGAGGACGGGGATAGCATTGGATGGAACAATATATTTTGTAACATTGGTTTTGATCCCAGTGTGCAGCTTCCTCCCTTCTTTCTGACTGAATGCTCATCAAATGACGGACTGCTTAGGGAGCCGTCACCTATGCCGTCACACATATATATATATATATATATATATGTCACATGCGGAGCACTGAGACGGCATGCATTTGAACTTTTCTAAGTGTATCATTGTCTAG